CAACCAAAAGCGTCACTTCATGCACATGCTAGTGTAAATTTCTGGGCACTCTAGTGTTCAATCATCTTCCACTTTCAGATCACGAAAGGTGGACAAGCCAATCTAAATCCTCAAGTTTAAGAAGATTGAACAGTGGAAGTTGTTGTACCCCAAAATCTTCCCTCCCATTTTACTCAAGACATGCTCATTGAAGTCATCAATTGCTCAAGGTTGGCCAAGAATTGGCCAGACAAATTCTCCTCCTAAGGAATGGGCTTCCAACCAGGGTTTCACTTCTCATAAATAATTTTGGGTTGTAAAGACTTAAAGTGATTTCCATGGTCCCTAATATGTCCTCAAGAATGTCCATGCCAAGTTTCATGCCTTGCACTACAAGCTTGCTCAGCCAATTGCTCAAATGTTTGAAAATCAACTCTACTAGGTCAAAAGTCAAATGTGGCTAATATACAGTCAAACTTCAAAGATTTTTGGTCAACATCAACATTTTGAAGTGATATCCATAATTTTATCAAGTGTTGATCATGATTCCCCAAGGAATACTCTCAAATCATTAAGAATCCAAAAATGCAAAATTAGGATTTCCTAGGAAAATTCAACTAAACTTTGACCAGGCATAAATTTTACATGCTTCATCCATTTTTCCCCCAACCAAAGCTCATTGTGAAGAAAATTCAATTCCCTACAACTTTTCTTTTGTCCTCAAGTTCAAAAAATGCATCATTAGAAAGATATGAGCCAATATATTACAGGTCTTTTTGAAAGTCAACAAAAAGACACTTTTTGTAAAGGCAATTTACATCAAGATAAATCTTCCAAATGCAAAAATGGTCAACATAGAGATTGTAGGATACATCTTGGGATTTCCACAAAGTCCAAGATCATCTTCAAATGATGAAAATTGAGAAAGTTATGATTTGCATAAGTTGGGAAAATTTGTGAGAATGCATAAAGTCAACTTTGGATAAAATCACTTTTTTTTACGTTAATGGACCTAATTTTTAGGGCCCAAAAATGTTCAAGATATATCTAAGAACCTATAAACCCATCCATGCATGAGCTTGCTTTTTATTTTATTTATTTTGGATTTTTATACAAATAAATTAAATAAATACAAGGTTAATGCATAAAACATGTAAGGCTTGAGATTTGATCATGTTGGAGACCCAAAGAGCTCGTGGATAGCTGGAAAAAACGTATGAAATAGATTGGTACATGATTGGATCAAATATAGCAAGTTTTATGTAAGATTGAAATCATATCTTTTCATCATAATGTACAAAGATTTGTACCATGTTTGTTAACCTAATCTTGCCCTCATATATACACAACAATTCAGAAGTGGAAACAACAAGCACAGCTGCCTCCAAACCCTACGAAAAATTCAAAAAAAATTCAAAGAGAAAGTGAAACTCGTATCACATGATCTAGCTTCCCTCGATTCATTCAAAAGGTTCCATCATCACTCTGAGGATCCCAAGAGTGCATACCAGCCCTTCTCGATAATTAAAGCATCCTAAAACAAGCAGACTTCGTCGCTCCGGTAGGTTAATATTCGCACACTCTAACCTTTCAATTCATGAAATTTAAATGGATTTGATGCATAGATCCATGTTGGTATTGTTGTTTAGGTTTGTTTTAACGTATTACAAGGTTTAAGGCAAGAATCGAAAAACACCATTGCTAGGGCAGCCTGTGACATTTTGGTCGTATCTCCATGTACAAGCACTTTCAGTCCAAACCAATGCCATGGTTGGATTTGCAGCATGCGATTTATGGGGAGTAGGCTGGACCCGTGGTTTCAAATCTCTCTATTTTGCAGGTTAGGGTTTTGGAGTGGGTGGAGAAGAAGGTGGTCAACCACCGTGGATGGTGGTTTGACCCCTCCGGAGCTTGCGTGTCAAAATCTATCATTATGATTAGCTCATTCAAATTATGGGAGACCCAATACAGTGCGCACATGTACACCTCAGCATTTCATGATGTTTCACGTATATTTCCATTTAGTTGTTTATATTAACGATTGACAGGTTGGCTGAGTGGTAAGGCAAGCATGTATACTGGGAAGAGACCTGGGTTCGATACCCAGGTCTGGAATTTTTTTTTCTCTAACGTTTATATTGCAGATCCAGTGTTCACAGGTTGTACTCGCGCACCATATGCCATCAGATCTCAGTTGACCTGGATCCAGCGTTCTACGCGCGTAGCCCATGATAAACCTCCTGAAGACTACCATAGGGGATCACGCATCATAGTTTGGGCTCCCTGATTTGGGCCTGACAAAGTTTTGGTTCATACCCCCCTCTTTGTTGGATAACATCAGGCCCACCCAATCTTTTTTTTTGTTTTGATTTAATCATTTCTTTTTAATCTTTTTATTATTTTAATCATAAAAAACAGAAAAAACACATAAAAATTTAGATTTAGATTTTTTATTTTTTTTTATTTTTTATTTTTTTTTCATAAGTTAACTTAATTAATTATTTTGATTTCATTTCATAAATTAAAAGCAATTAGAATTAGGTTAAAATTTTAAATATTTCTTGAACAAAAATGCCAAAAAATATTAGGTTTATTTTAGAATTAATTTTAATTAATAATTTTATTTTCTTTCTTATTTTAATTAATTAGATTTAATTTAACTTAATATGTTCTCCAAATAAACAAACAACAAAATGATTTTCCTCTTTTGCTTAGAATTTTAAGGTTTTTAGACGTTCCCTTTGATTTGCGCGCGTTTAAATACTTTCACATTATTATTACCCTTTCTTATTATTGTACCTGTTTCTTGGTTTGTAATGATTAAAAACTAGGATATTTACTGCTTTTATTCCCCAATTTTGGACTTGTAAAATCTCCCTCCCTGAAGCCATGTAATAGTTTGGTTTAAATTCCTGTAGATATATTAACTGTTTAGATGTATGGTAATAGGATTGCATGACAAAGAAATTAAAAACAAAATGTTAGCAAACCTAACATCATGATAAATAACTGAAACACAACGCACTTGCACATGCGCACCTCTAGGGTACTCCCACTTTGGTTGCCTTCAGATTAAAACAGTCACAACTCTCGAAACGTGAGAAATTTTAGTGGCTACCCTTCGGTTTAAAGATCTAAAAAATGACCCTTTCGATGTTGCCTTGGTATGATCTTAAAACCCTAGGGTAGTTACTAAATTATCTTGCCTAGTTGCCTTTGTGACTATAACGATGACCCTTCGAATGTCCCTCAAAAATCTAACGATAGAGCTACCTACTCACTAATAGTAGGATAACACTGTCTAAAGGAAAAGAGGAAAATAACGAACCTTTCGAGTAAAGTAGATAGTTCTTAGATGCTTGCTCAAAAACAATTTCTCACATACACAAAACTCTTTCCAAAAACATTTTTCAAAACCCTTTGTATATGTTCTCAACAATACGAGAAACATTACAAAGTTCGCCACACTAAGGCGTCTTTTCAAAATACTTTTTCAAACACATAAAACACAAGGTATTTTCAAATGAGCTAGCATCTAAGAGCCCGTAGATAACTACAGATGGAAAGGATGCTAACACCTTCCCTTTCCATAATCTACCCCCCTTACTCATAAATAATCTCGAAAGGTCTTTTTATGTTCTTTTCACCTTTTCTTTTGTTGGATAAAAGAAAAGTCGGTGGCGACTCTTGCTTATCGCAACATTTACGAGTACAAACGCAAAACCAGTATAACAGTCGGTTCTGCTACTGTATTACATAAACGTCTTCAGCTTTATCGGTCAAACCTTTGATGGACGGAGTTCTTTCAAACAGGATCTCATGACTATTTATCAGGCATTGAACACCTTCTTTTAGCCATTTGCATCCATTAACTTGTTCGGTTCAGCAATTACAATCTTTCAAACAGCCAGGGAAAACCCCAACTCTCAGCAAATTTTCTTTGACAATGGCCAGTGGCGTAGTCAAATCTTCAACAGGGGAAACAAAAACAATGTCTTCAATTGCATTGACACCTTTGTCATGATTTGACATTGGTGCAGTTATAGCATTCAGAGTTGTAGGTGGATCAAACTCAATAGTCTTGTCGTCGATAAGATCTTGAATCTTGTTTTTTAGAGCCCAACATTGATCAGTATCATGCCCAGAGCTATTGGAATGATAGGCGCATTTGCGTTAGGATTGTATTTCGGAGATGAAATATTGGGATTTGATGGTGGATCACGCAATGTTACCAAGTTGGCCTTCAACAGGTGTTGCAAGGCTTGGGACAGTGAAACGTTGTTGTTGTTGTTGTTGTTATTATTATTATTATTATTATTATTATTATTATTATTATTATTATTATTATTATTATTATTATTATTATTATTATTATTATTATGATTATTATTATTATGATTATTATTATTATTATTATTATTATTATGATTATTATTATTATTATTATTATTATTTATTTATTTATTTATTTTTATTTTTTTGAATCAAAAATATATTAACTTAAAAAACAATGAATACACGGCGATCGCTAGGATCCATCCCTCAAAACTACACAAAATACCAAACTATGCCTAAGGCATCATTAAAGAAGCTAAGTGTGCTCTAAGCTTGGGATAACTCCATCCTCTGTAAACAATCACATTCAGAATCCTCTCAACAATATTCCTGTCCTCACTGACATTACAAAAAATGAAATCATTCCTCAAATGCCAACATTCATGAATGGTTTCAGCAAGAGCCATTCTCACCAAATCAGATTTCCAGCCCTTACCACGAAACTGCCTAAGCAACCAACTCATTTCCTCAGACCAAATACCAGGAACATGTATAATCCGAAGCCAATGCAACACCACTTTCCAAATTCTATTCAACTTAATACACTCGAAAAAAAGGTGATTGACGGATTCCTCCTGATCACAAAACGCACATATGCTGTTTGAAATCATACCAAACCTGAACAACCTAGCCTTAGTTGCTAAACCCCCATGGCAAGTCATCCATAGGGTAAAAATGGACCTGGGTCATGCCTTGTTTCGGAGGATGAGGTTACACCATATGACTTTATCCCTATCTGATATCAACTCATTGTATACTTTGTTAGTGTAGAACTTACCCTCATTCAGCATGCTCCCCCACAGGCCAGTAAGGTCCGGCACAAGTGCACGTTGTTGCAAAATGGCTTTGAAAATACCTGAATGGTTCAATTTGGGATTTCTGCACATGATCTCATCATTCTTCAGATGATACGCATGAATCCATTGAACCCATAAGTTGTCAGCCTTTGCACAAATATTCCAAAGCAGTTTCAGAATGAGCACTCTATTCCAGGAGGTCATATCTTTAACATTAAGCCCACCTTTTGTGGATGGTTTACAGATCTTATCCCAAGCAATATGACTCTTTTTACTCACAATACTACACCCTGTCCAAAGAAAGGTTCGGCAAATAGCATTGATTTTATGCAAAACAGCTTTTGAGAATAAAAAACATTGCATCCAGTATGAAGAAATAGCATGTAAAACACTCTTGATGAGTTGTAAACGGCCTGCATAGCTCAACAAATTAGCGCTCCAGTGTGTAATCATGCAAACCATTTTATCCACAAGAGGCATATAATGGGTCACCGAGAGATTCTTATTGGTCACAGGCACTCCCAAATAACGAAACGGGAGAGTCCCCTCACGGTAGGAAGTCATACGCAGGATTCTCTCTTTGGCATCAGCTGTCATCCCACCAAAGTAAATGTTACTTTTGGCAGAATTCATCTTCAAACCTGTGGAAGCTAGGAAAATATGTAAGGTTTGTTGCACAAGCTCGATCGATTTAGCGTCACCCCTGGAAAATACCAACAAGTCATCTGCAAAAATCAAGTTAGTAAGTGACAACCTCTCACACTTGGGATGATGATTGAATTCCGGATTCTTTTGCATTTGGAGAAACAATCTATTCAAGTATTCCATTGTGATGACAAACAAAAGAGGAGATAAAGGATCCCCTTGACAAATACCCCATCTCGCCTCCAATTTGTCCGTAAGCATACCATTAAGATTAAACCGATACGAAACAGTAGTCACGGTTGTCATAACCCAGTCCACAAACCTCCTTAGAATTCCAAGTTCACACATGATTTGCTCCAGTGCACACCAATCCACCATATCATACGCTTTCTGAAGATCAAGCTGTATCATGCATCTAGGGGAGATCATCTGCCTGTTATACCCTTTAATCAGTTCTCTTGCCAATAAAATATGGTTTTGAATATGCTTCCCTGTCACAAATGCAGCCTGCGCTTTATTGATAACACTGCCCAACACCTTGGCCAATCTAGCCGTTAAAATCTTGGAGATTATTTTATAGAAAGTGGAGCACCCTGCTATCGGATGATAGTCACGAATGGTCTTGGCAGCTGGATGTTTGGGGATAAGGGTAACTATGGTTTGATTCATGGCTTTGTAGATCACAGTATGCTCGAAAAATTCCTTTATAGCATCTATCACGTCCTGTTCAATAATCTCCCAGCTGGATTTGAAAAATTTTGCCCCATACCCATCAATGCTTGGACTTTTTAAATCGCCAATTCCTTTTAAAGCACATTTAATTTCAGTCACAATTACAAGTGCAATGGGGCAGTTCCTCTCCCTACCCGACAATTGGGGACCTTCCCTCATAACTGTTATATCAATCATTTGCAATCTTCTATCACGCGATCCCATGAGGCTCTTGTAGAAATCACAAATCTCAGCAGCAATAGCATCAGAATTCTGGAGAACAGAGCCATCATCCTTATGCAGAACTTTGATGGAGGTAGCAGCATGTTTAGCTTTCAGAGAAGCATAGAAAAACTCAATATTGCTATCTCCTTTCCTAAGCCAATCAATTTTGGTCCTTTGCCTCATCATTTGGTCGTTGATCTCATGCCAATAGATAACAGAATCAGTGCAGCTTTTGACTTTATCAATAATCTCAGAATTCATTATGTCCAAACACAGTTCCTCCTGGGCCAATATGAGATCAGTTCTGGCTTTAGCTATAGTTTTATTTACATTAGACAATTGCTTACTCAGCCTACTAAGAGGACCCTGCAAACGCAGTAACTTATACCAAAGCTTGGCCATAGGTTTGCCCTTCATTGGTTTCTGCCAGCTCTCACCAACAACCATCTGATATCCTTCCATGTGAGTTACACAGTTAGTAAATCTGAACTGAGAAATCTTTACCTCCCTCTGCATACGTCCATTCAAGCATAGTAAGTTATGATCAGATACACTGCAAGGAAAGATAGTCAGGTTCACATCAATGTTATCCATAAGCCACTCCATGTTTCCCAGAACATGATCAATTCTAGAATAAATTGTTCCCACAGAGTGTTTGTTGGTCCAAGTATAGTAATCCCCAAGGTTGTCTTTCTCAAAAAGGCCAACTTTCTCCATTACATCTCTGAGGTCCACGATTTCTGCTTCAGTCACCAAATTACCCCCAATCCTGTCCATGGCTTTGATCACATTGTTGAAATCCCCCATAAGGACCCAAGCTCCATGCTGGCTCGAATGAACCCTCTCTAAGTCAGTCCACAACCTTCTTCTATCATCCAGCTGATTAAAGGCATAAATTGCTGTCATCCAATTTTTAAAAACTCCATTCAAATCATAGATACCACAGTGGATCATCTGTGCAGAGCATTTGACCAAACGAACCTCAACCCTATTGTCATCCCAATAGATCTAAATTCTTCCATTAGGATGATGCTGATAATTATCCAGGAATCTACCTCTAAGTTTCAGCTGCTCTCTAACTTTATTAGCTTTAGCAGATTTCACACGAGTTTCAATCAGAATGGCTATCACAGGGTGAAGATTAAGGAGATGGGAGTTAATCTCCCTTAGCTTCCCCATTTTATTTAACCCCCTCAAATTCCAGGATATAATCATTGCCCAGTATTTTGAAGCTCTAGGAGATCGTTCAAAATTCCTAGGGCATCAAAACCATTGTCACAAGCCAAGTTACCTGATGATGCTGCAGAACCATGGTGCTTCCCTTTGACAGTCACACTTCTAGGGGCCTCCTTCCACGCATCCTCAGACGAATCCTGCATACCTGTAACTCTTCCATCTGGATCCTTCTTCCCTGAAGCTTGACTCGTATTCTCACTCTGAGACCCTGCTGGACCCATTCCCACTGAAGTTGAAGGGAGTGTTGAGGCTTGCATTTCATCTGGGGGCTTTGGTATCCAGTGCTGCTTAGGAGGGGTTTTAGCACAGTTATGCCCCAGTTTTTGGCACTTACAGCAGAACTGAGGCTTCCACTCATACACAATGGGTTGCTGAAACTTGAGGCCTCCTTCATCCACAATAGAGATGGACTGAGGCAAGTCCTTTGTAACGTCCATTTCCACTAGTATTCTAGCATACGAGACTCGTAATCTATTGGCGGTACATTCATCTGTGACAATCGGATTTCCCAGACAACTACCAATTTTGCAGAGGCTTGTATCCCCCCATAAGGTGAGAGGCAATTGGGGCAATTTAATCCAGAGTGGGAGCATGCGCAAAAGATCATCCTTCAACTTAAACTCAGGTCTCCATTCCCGAATTAGCAAGGGAACATTCTTGAACATATAGGGGCCTCGCATAAGGACCTCATCTCTATCCGCAAACGATTTGAAACGAAGAATGAAAAAACCATCATCATTGTAATACATATCAGGGAGTTGAACGAAGCTCCTGTACCGAGACATGAAGTTCTTAACCCCATTCATGCTCAAATCCAGCCCTAGGGAGTAAAGAACAAGAGACGGCTCCCAAAACTCCACTTCCGAAATGACATCCTCCTCCTTGATAACAGCTTCAATTGTACCATTAGCAATCGTTGGCGCGATGAATTTCATAGCTCTCCCTCTCGCAGGGTTCCTGTTGTCGTTCAGAACATCCACCCATAACTTGCGTCCTTCAGTTTGTAAGCTATCCCCCTGTATGGGATTCACCTGCACAGCTTCCCCTTGAGGTTCGACCAACTGGACGGTAGCGGGGTTACCTTGCTGACTTGAATCACTTTCGTTTGATTTTGTTATCAATGGATCCGGAGAGGCTGGCGGCGGTGGCACCGTCTTCCTCGGACGCCCCGACTTCCCTCTCCCCTTCCCCATTCCCAATCGCCGTTACCAAACGCCGGAGTTCGAAATCTAATTTGTTTCGACTGGAGCTCGAAATCGTCGGAGCTCGAAATATTTTAATTTGTTTGATTTACTTATTATTATTATTATTATTATTATTATTATTATTATTATTATTATTATTATTATTATGATGATTATTATTATTATTATTATTATTATTATTATTATTATTATTATTATTATTATGATTATTATTTTTACTATTATTATTATTATTTTTATTATTATTATTATTATTATTATTATTATTATTATTATTATGATTATTATTTTTATTATTATTATTATTATGATTATTATTATGATTATTATGATTATTATTATTATTATTATTATTATTTTTATTATTATTATTATTATGATTATTATTATGATTATTATTATTATTATTATTATTATTTTTATTTTTATTATTATTATTATTATTATTATGATTATTATTATTATTATTATTATTATTATTATTATTATTATTTATTTTTATTTTTTTATTTTTGAATACGTCAACTTTGATTATAATAAAACACAAATACAAGGTGATCACAAACCGATCAAACCCATATGGTCAAGAGAGAACAAATGTTAAACTATTACATCATAAGAGGAACAATATAATTTTTGGGAATACTACTATGCCAACCCCTAAATATGATGTTATCCATAATGTGCCTTAAGGCTAGCAAGTAATCAACTTTCTCCCCAAAGCAAACTTTATTCCGATATAACCAAATACCATAAATTGTCTCCGTTATAGCAAGTTTAAACAGATTACTCCTCCAACCTTTACCTTTACATTTCGCAATAATCCATGGCAATTCCTCATTCCAACTCTTCGGGGTATGATTAATATTAACCCAATTAAGCACATCCATCCAAAATTGTCGCAAACCAGAACACTCAAATAAAATATGATTGATATCTTCAATACTAGAGAAAAAACAGCATTTCGAATCTGTAATAAAACCAAACCTAACAAGCCTCTCCTTAGTAGCTAGCTTGTGATGACAGGCCAACCATAATGTGATAACAGCCCTAGGCCTGGCGAGGTTTTTACAGATAAGAGACTTCCAACTGACTACCGGCTCATTACTTCTCATCTGGGAATATACAGATTTCATAGAGAATTTACCCGTACATAACATGGCCTCCCAAAGTGCCTGAATTCCTTGAATATAATCTCTTGTCCCCATAACTCGTTTCATTATCCAAGTGCCACTATCTTTAATCTTACAATCCATGATATCATCATTCTTCATATAATAGGAGCGTATCCACCTAACCCACAAATTATCTTTTTTAGCACAGAGATTCCACAGCAATTTAAGCAAAGCTACCTCATTCCAAATAAATAAATCAATTAAACCAAGACCACCATTCTTCTTGGGCTTACAGACTTGATTCCAGGCCACAGGACTCTTCCTACTCATCCTATCTTTCCCAGCCCAGAAGAATGATCTGCAGATAGTATTGATCTATTGCAGCACCACTTTAGGCATAGGGAAACAGGTGAACCAAAAGTTGTTCATAGCAAAAATAATAGATTTGAGGAGTTGAAGTCTACCAGTTGCACTTAATAATTGGGAAGACCAATGCCTAATCCTACTGACAATCTTATCAATGAGGGGCAGGTAATATTTTGCAGCCAACTTCTTAGAAGAGAGAGGCACCCCCAAATATCTGACTGGGAGGCTCCCTTCAAGGAATTTAGTCAAATGAAGCACTTGTTGTTTAGTATCCAAATCCACAGCACCAAAGTATATTTTGCTTTTAAGAGAATTAACTTTCATACCTGTAGAACTAGAGAACCTGTTGAAAGCTTGCATAATCAAGGATAAGGATCCAATATCACCTCTAGAGAAAAGAAGCAAATCATCAGCAAAGGCAAGATTTGTAATCTGGAGTTTTTCACACTTAGGGTGATGATTAAAATTGGGGTTCAGCTGCATCTGGTGGAGGCATCTATGCATATATTCCATGGTGATGACAAAGAGGTAAGGGGAAATGGGGTCCCCTTGCCTTATGCCCCTTTGAGCCTGTAACAAAGTAGACATAGATCCATTGATACTGAAACGATATGATACAGTGGTAACAGTAAGCATGATCCAGTTTTTGAACTTATTGGGAATGCCAATCTCCTGTAGAATACAATCCAAGGCCCTCCAGTCAACCATATCATATGCCTTTTGCATATCAATCTGAATCATACACCGTGGAGTAGTATATTTTATCGAATAGCCTTTAATGAGTTCATACGCAAGGAGAATCTGATTATGAATTTGCTGCCCAGAATGAATGCTGCTTGATTAGGACTGATGATACTTCCAATTACCCTCCCCAATCTGTTTGTCAGAATTTTAGAGATGATTTTATAGACAGTAGTGCAGACAGATATAGGCGGGAATTCAGAAATTCTCCTAGCAGTTTTTGTCTTAGGCAGCAGAGTAATGCTGGAACAATTGAATGCTTTGTAAAGATAATTCCTGTTAAAGAATTCATGAACAGCAGCAAGAAGATCAACCTTGATAATGTCCCAAGTAGCTTTGAAGAAAACTGAATTATACCCATCTAAACCAGGGGCAGACATATCACTAATATCTTTGAGGGCTTCATAGATTTCAATATCACTAATGGCAGAATCAAGGAATTCTCTTTGGAATTATTGAGCTGAGCACCCCTTCTCATTGCAACCAAATCAATCCCACTTATATCTTCCTCCTTGCTTCCCATCAGTTTCCATAAAAAGACAAGATTTCTTGTTCAATCTCTGCCTGGGATGATAAAACAGAACCATCCTCACTGATTAGGCATGACAGATTCGTGGAAGCCTGTTTCGATTTCACAACAGAATGGAAAAAAGAAGAATTTTCATCACTAAATTTCAACCAATTAACTTTAGCTCTTTGCTTCAAGATTGCAATCTCAATATCATTCCAAGACAACAGTTCTGCAGATAATTTCTTAACCTCATTCATCTTTTCAACATTCATATTATCATATTGCAAACTAGTCTGAGCCATGTCCAGCTTATGCCTAGTCAGAACAATATGCTTCCTAGCTTGGAGTAAAGGCAACTGAAGTTTGATTAGGACAGGTTGTAGCCTCTTCATCTTATTCCATAGAACAAACATTGGTCTACCATCCAGATGAACATTCCAACTATTTTGAACTGCATCAAGAAAGCGATCTATAGCAGTAATACAATTCAAGAATTTAAATCTGTGTATCTTGTTCCTACTGATTGCTTGATCAGTAACCAACAGCGGAGCATGGTCAGATATTAAAGGAGACAGAATATGAAGAGATTGAGACAAGTGAGACTGAAACCATGTGACATTTCCCAAAAGCCTGTCAATTCTGGAGTATATCATGCCAACAGAGTGCCTATTCGACCAAGTGAAGTGATCCCCTGTACTATCCATCTCAAAAAAGGCCATTCTTATCCATAAACTCCTGTAAGTCTTTACATTCAGCTTCCACGACCATTTTACCACCTATCCTGTCTTGAGCACTGAGCACATTATTAAAATCCCCAACAAGGCACCAAGCACCAATAATATGCATGCTATCAAGTTCATTCCACAACTTTCTCCTCTGCTCCAGACTGTTATGGCCAAAAATAGCAGTTAACCAGAATCTGAAACTGCCATTACAGTCATAAACCCCACAATGAATCATCTGACTACTGCAATCAATTTTCCTGACATCCATCTTGTTGCTATTCCAAGTAATCCAGATTCTACCATTTGCATGACTTTGATAGTTATCTAAATAATTTGTACCAACATTTAACTTCTGCCTAACAGAGCTAGCTTTTGAACTCTTGACTCTAGTTTCAATAAGGATACTAATATCTGTATTAAGGGAGTGGAGACGGGAGCTAGCCTCCTTAATCTTAGCAGATTTATTCAGCCCCCTAATATTCCAAGACATTAACATGGACCAGTATTTTGAAGCTCTAGGAGATCATTCAAATTCCTAGAGCATCAAATCCATTGCCAAATGAAAGCATACCTGCTTGGGGATCAGTCTGAATAGCTTTACCTTTATCTTTCCCACTGCCTGGAACCTGAGTCCACTTATCTCCCTCTTCAATTTTTTGAATTTGCACTGTTCTATTATCCTTAACAGGCTGCACAGTACTAGAAGGCAATACTGGTGTATCCAAATTCTGTACAGTTGGAGTTGCATCCTTTACCTCAACAGAAGCAGCTTTAGGGATCCAAATCCTGTCCTTTAATTTCTGGTTCTCACAATTATGCCCTAATTTTTGACATTTCCTGCAGAAAAGTGGTTTCCATTCATATTCAACTAGCTGCAAGAGTTTCTCCCCATGACTATTCCTAATCACAATCTCACTTGGAAGCTCCTTAGTAATGTCCATTTCTACCAAAATACGAGCATACGACACCCTGTGTTATTTTCCGTACATTCATCAGTCACAATAGGGGTTCCAAGGATGCTACCAATTTTGTTCAGACTAGAAACTCCCCAAAAGACAAGGGGAAATTGTGGGAGTTTCACCCAGATAGGAAGAGTTCGTAGAAGGTCATTTTTGAGGTTGAAATCTTGTCTCCATTCACGCAGAATCATAGGACAATTGCGTATCGAATAAGGCCCTTTCATTAACACTGCATCTCTATCTGACAGAGTGTTGAATTTCAACAGAAAAAAACCTTCCTCATTGTAGTAGATGGCAGGAAGTTGCACAAAATTCCAATGCTTCGTCATAAATTGTTTAACCATATTCATACTGAGTTCACCGCCTAGAACATACATTATCAGAGCTGATTCCCAAAACCTAACTTCTGGCATGATATCCTCTTCTGTAATTTCTGCTTCTGCCACTCCATTGATTATTGATAGAGCAATAAACGTCAAAGCTCTACCATTAGATGGGTTTCGATTTTCATTCAAGACATCAACCCACAACTTCCGCGACAGTTCCTAGGTTACAGATTTCGCTTCTTCCT